GCATTTGAGTGCTCAATAAATGCTATCTCAGTCAGTGAATAAATTAATAGATAAGCTGTTGTATATTCAAGGATGCAGGGATGCAGGGCACCGAGGGTGTGAGGGATAGTCCCTAGCTCGATTGGAACCTCGCTAATTAATCAATGTCAATGGGTATAAGCAGAAGAAGATGCCAATGGGAGGGTCACATCTTTCTTAATTATACAGGGGACGTTGCAAAAGGGGGGGGATGTTTCATACATTTTTTACTAGCTAAAATGATAAAATATTGATTCAGAACTCACAATTAATCCTTATACGCAGACTGGGCTTTTAATAATTCAGTCCCAGTTCTCCGTGGTCCTGTTTGTTCCCTCCCCATGGCTGAGCAGAAACTGCTTTCTGAGAAGATGGGGACCATTTCTACCCGAGAACATGAGCTCAGATCCCTGTAACTACACACCATGGTAAATATTAACTCTTTCTAAGTGCTTAGCCTCATTCCCAGAACACTTTCTAAAGCAGAAACATTATTTTTCTTCCGTGCCCACTTGAAATCTGTTTTCTTTTGTATATTCATTGGATGCTTTCTTGTTTTGATTTCTAATTATCTTAAAACTCTTTGGGTTACAAAATACAGCTAGAGGATATAGATATAAAATGATATGAGGACAGGCGCTCAAAGGGCCGAATGTAGGGTAAGTGGGGATCTGAAACCCTGGTAGTGTCACCAATCCACTTTGAGAATTAGTGGCTCTGTAGTAGACCTCAGTTTCCTTATTTGGAAAATATTGAACCTCCTCAAGGCTTTTTTTTGACAAAACTAAATAACTTGCTTGAACCTAAGTCCCATTTTTCTATGAGTTCAGGCACTTATGGTTCAAATAAATTCTGTAGAATTGCACACAAAGTAATTGAGGCAGCAACTTACTCAACAAATATAATCTCTTATTTCAGATTCCTTATTCCAGATATGGGATCCTTCAGTTCCTAAAGACTCAGGGTTTCTATAATCTAGTGTTTGGTCTACCTCCAAAGTAAAGAAACTCCAATTTCAGCTATGGGCTTGGTATGTTATTATGACACAACATGGTCATTTTAAACATATACTTATTAAAGTGTTCTCTTGATATGCTGCATGTATTAGTTGGCTGCCTCATCTTGGATTCATAGGGTAAGAACACTAATCATCTTATAATCTTTGATGTTTACAATGTCTATCTAAGTGTGTCTATTGTATAGATACAGTCTTGGAGGGGAGGTATAAATTGCAAATGAGAACTTCAGATACACGAGTTTAAAAATATTTTAGATTAAACATATAGGATCCACAGGATCTGTCCCCCAAACTTCTCTAAACTTCTGCAGTTTCTTCTCTTCCTCCTCCTAGTAATATTATTTGCTCCTATTCTTTGCTTCCATTTTCTTACTCTGACAACAAATTTCAATACCAAAATATAAGGCAAGGTTGCTGGCCTGGGGCATTTAAACTTGAAGTTTGTTTAGATACCAGGAAGTTCGGATCAAGTTGAGGCTCCACTTTAATGACGATATACTCTTACAGACAATCTACATTATCCCTTTCTCATTTGCCTTGATTCATTAAATTCACCAATGAGTCTGATTATTTTTACCTTCTGTCTACATACAAATATCTATCTTGCTATGATATAGCAAATAGTTTGTGGTAAAAAAAAGCAAGTATAAAATGTGCTGTGAATCACTTCCTTGGGTAATCTATACCTACCAGGACTGTACTTAAGAAGAATCAACCGGAAAGGTTTCAGACACAGCAAAGATGGGTCCCCACTTCCTGGATAAAATACCAATGCGTTTAAATAATCAACTTGTATACATCATGTTTAAAATACTATGGAAATCTACATTCCCTTGTGACCTAAGAAAACATTATCCTTGTCCCATTATTCATACTAAAATGGAAGAAGAATGATATTAACCTGTCCAATGCTGGGAGGGAGGGATCAATTTATTCATCTAATCAGGACTCTGGTTAGGTTTTAAACCCTTGCTCTGTTTTCTTTCCCTAGTTCAGCCCCTCCCAAGCTGCGTTTCACTAGAGATCATACTCTGTATTGTATTAATGATGTTAAATATTGTAGCTTCCTCTTGGAGAAATGTTACAAAAAGTAAACTTGCTTAAAATTATGTAACCCAGGTTTCCCATGAATGCTATCTCACCCCTACCTACTCAGAACCTAGTAACGTCTTGGAGAAATGTTAGTGTCATGGGAATACAACTAGAGAAGTCACAGTAGAACATCATCAGTGCACTGTAGGATGATAGTTGTACTTCTGAGAGGTTCCAGGGTACTGACGTGCCTGCTAGTCCTGGATTCAAACGTCTTACTTCTGTTATACACAAGCTTGGTCAACTCATTTCGGTATATTACTTACATTCTCAAAGCCTGCTTCTTTAACAAACAAAATAAATAGCGCATGTGCTTGTTAGGAAAATTAAACGAAAGAATATATATATAATGCTTTACTAATAATTCAATGAATAATGGTTGTTATTGCTTCTATTTTTGTTATTATTTCCATCCGCTGCTGGACTCAGACATAAGGACATGCTTATGTAGCTATTTCTGCCTTCTACTTAAATTAGAGCCTGTTTTGCCTCCTATGACAAATGGTCATTGATCTTGTCACAAAACCTCTCAAATTCTTGTCATCCCTCATCCAGTACTGTCCTTCTCAGCAGCTGATATACTGACCTTGCAAATGGTAAGAGATGGGTAATTAGCCACACTCTAAAGTCATCCAGATCATCACACCAGTCACTTTAATGTGGGGTGATAAAATCTGTGAATTTTATGAGGCTTACCCTGCAGATTCTAACGATAAAATATGCTGTGGGAAGATAGGGAGGGCCGGGGGGAGTGCTACCTGAAATTTAAATGTGACTCTAACCAACCTAGCTCAATCCCACCAGCCACACTTGAAATCAAGAAGAATGGCCATCTGCAACAACAGCGTCACCCATAGAAAGATTTCTCCTTTTCCCTTGCTCTCTTCTCCCCCTTATTTTTGGTGTAAGACTCACCCAAAGTAGTCCTACACAAATATTACTGAGGGATATCACTCCATATTGGGGAAAACAAAAAACAAAAACAGAATGCATATCTGAAGAGTTCATTGTTGAAGAAATTTTCTCTAATAAATAATGTACAGATTCCATCATCAGTTCTGACCAGTTTGTATGAGTGTGGGATAAAGGGGAGACCTGAGACATTCAGCCCCTGGTTGAACTTCCCTGACCCTTTCACCCTTCATACCACAGAGCTTTTCCCCTCCCCGAAAGTAGCTTTCATCACTGGTCTGCTCCCAGCTTGTCAACAATACCCAGCCCATGTCACCCAAGGATTTCCTTGCCCTATTGATTCTCTATCACGATCATCATCCCTCCAAACTAAAAATATTCAGTCAGGACACATCAGCAGTTACTGGTAAGCAAAATACATAGGCAAAGTTAAATACGGCAGAAGAGTTGGGGGAAAAAACAACTAAAGTGCTAATCCTCTCAGTGGGGAAAAGAAGCTTTGTAGGTGTCTCTGGCTGTAGCAGGGATTAAAATGCTGGGCACTTCCTTTACAAACACATTGTGACCCAGAGCCTGGTAATAGGAGATTTTCATGATTTCAGGTTTTTTGTTTTTGTTTTTTTCAGAATTGACAAAACAAACCAAATATTTCTACTTGAGTTGATTTCTCAACTATAAAGAATCTCTGAAGCTGAGTTCTCTTCTCTTCGGTGGGGCCGAACACAAATGAGGTCAGGAGAATTTCTAAAAACCCAAAGTTACAAAGACACCTCCAGGAGCAACCTTTTCAATCACCCACCTTCCAGCAAAGATTTTCTCTGCAGAAGAAAATCCCCTTGCTCTTGGGTTGGTGTTTAACTCTGGGGTCTTGCTCAAGACAACGACTCACAACTAAGTGCACATGAGAAACACCTGAGGCAAATACAGTCCGGATCAAGTCTCGATGCTTGGTGTTCAAAGTGAGGTCCGTGCACCATGAGCATGAGCACCACCTCAGAGCTTTTGAGAAAACCAGAATCTGCATTTTAACAAGATCCCCAAGGATTTAAATGAATGTAAAATATATACATTTCAGGGTCCCTGTCATCAGAGATTCTTATTTATGTCTTTTGTTGCAGCCACAGCAGTGGTTCTCAAACTGTGGTCTCTGGAGAAGCACTAACGTCTTCACCTGGGGTGGCATTAAAAATGCAAATTATTGCACCCCAGACCTCCTCAATTAGAAACTTGGGAGCGGGGCCCAATAATCTGTGTTTTAACAAGTAATACAGTGATTCGAGTGCATACTAAAGGTATAAAACCCGGCTCAGGGGGCTATGCCAAATTTACCAGTATATTCATAGTCTGTTTTCCACAGATGGTGGGTCAAACAAGGACTTGTAACCCAGACCTTCACATTTAGAACAATCGAGGATATGCATGGGACCAAACGTGGGCACTTAATTGAAGCTAAGGCTTCTCTTGCCGAAATACGAGCTAAGCTGTGTTACTCAAGATCCATGCCAACTGGTAGCCAGCATGAGTGAAGCCAGACTGGAGAATGACACTGTGTCCTTGGTGACAGGGTTACATGGATTTCTGGGTCTTAACCATTCCTGAAGCATGTTCTATCTCCTGATTCTCTTGTATCTGAACTAGAGAGTTCCCCTGTAACTTAAGCTGATTTGAGTTGGCTTACCCCTTCTTTGAAACAGGAAATCCTGCGTGAAGCATTCCGCACGTCCAGTGGAGAAATAGAAGAGGACAATGCGTTCCTCCGACGAGAGGGTGTGCAGCTGATACGTTCACACCTCCGTGGTCAGTTCACCGAGCAGGAATGACAACCCACTTTAACATAAGAGATCGTTACAAAAAACCCTTCTTACATTGAAATGAACTCTTTAAAAGTTATATTTTACATTAACCCCAAACACCTGATTTCCTCTACCAAGTAACAACTCTTTAAGAATTTGAAGGTACATTCGCCTCTCGGCCTTTTGGCTAAGATCAAGTGTAGTATCTGTTCTTATCAGTTTAATATCTGATACGTCCTCTATCCGAGGACGTTATGTCAAATGTATTTTTGGAGCAGGGAGATGGAATAGGAGCTAAAAAAATAATAATAATAATTTGAAGGTACATCTGATGCACCCCACAAATATTATCTTCTTTAAATAAATATCCACATTTATTTTCCATCATAAAATGACTTTGAGTGCTCTCACTATCTTAATTGTTTGGCCCCGAATATCAATTTCTCAAATTTTAATCATTGCGAAGTACATCGTTTAGTTGACAGAAGTACAGCACAGTGCAGAACAGGGCTGTGCTGTAGAGTGGAAATGTTTGTGCAAGGATGACTTCAGTATTGAATTGAAGTGTATACTAAGGACTAAAGAGAAGATTTGAAGTTACTTTGGAAGTGGGTGCTGTATTGCCACTCTAATCAGACCTGTGCAGAGAACACACCAAATGCTCTCTTTCTTGTCATAGTGGATGGGACTATGCATAAGAGAATTCTACTTCTCGTGTTGCCCACAAGCTATTTGCTAGGTGGTGACTCTCAGTTGGGTAAGAGAGAGATCACCAAAATCCCCTAGAAAAAAGTTTTCCCCATCAGATTTTATACACCTTCCCCATCCCTCACAATTCCTATTCTGTGGTTGAAAACCAGAAAAATTTCAATGTGTTCTATAACCTGGATCTGACACTGTCATCCTTCTGATCCAATCACTTCACTAATTACTTTCCTTTGTGGTTATTTGCAACTTGTTAGCATATTAATTTAAACCTCCCCTTTCTACTTATTTTTAGTCATTCTACTCTCCTAAGGCATAGTTTGTGCATTATAATATATGGATAGCAATCGCCTTTTCTTTAGATAGTGCAAAGATTACATGAGACAGATTATATGTAAACTGATTGGTTTCAACATCTGGCACATATTTAGTGCTCAATAAGTCTTGGCTTTAAAAATAATGCCATGTAGGACTTCCATGAGCTGATTTTAGCTCTTGTATTCTGAATTCAAGCCATTCTCAATGATGTATACTTTTCATAACATGCATATTTTCTCTTTAATGCCTCTGTGTACACTCAAACACAATACTCAAGTCTTTTTTTACGTAGATTTCTATTCTACAGCATAACCCAGTTATCACTGTGCTGTTCTTTCTGGGAACTGAATGGTAATACCTTACAATGATCAAAACTCAATTTCACCTCACGAGATAAGATCCAGGATCCCAGCCTTAATGTTTTCTTTATCCAGACTCTGTCATATATTAATTACATCTTTTCTGGCAAATTCTTTAAGCCCCAAGTAAATATAACCCAGAAAGAATAAAGTTTCTGATATTTAGAACCTTATATACTAAGAAAGACCCAACTCAACACTAACACGTTAGAATATAATCTAATAAATACATATAGTATAGTCATTAGATATGTACTAAATGGAAATCTGGATATAAGAATAGGAAAATCTTGAAAGGTAACTTGGAGAAGACTGGTTTTGAGATGTATTTTAAAATAACCACTCAATATGGGCTAACGAACAGGAGAGAAGGGAGGTGGGTTTGGGGACGAAGGGAGGCAGAGATGAGCAAGTTCTATATTATGAAATATAACTTGAACAAGTCTTTCAAGCTTTATTTTCCTAAGGCAAGCAAATGTGTTCATTTGGATTCTCTACCTGTGTTTGCCTAACACATAACACATACCATATTCTGAATACATACCACAAATTCATAGGTGAAGCTTAACATATGTTGACCATTTTAGAGATGTCTAGCTTGAAATAATATGTGATGAGACTAAGTTCCACACTAGAAATTTACATTCCAACGAAAAATACTGCCACTGTGGGGAAATATTTTATCTAAATATTTGGAGGTAAAGAAAGGAGAGAATTAAAATTATGATTAAAAAAGACATTTACACGTTTTGCTGGTTTGATTAATCTTCTTTGTATTGTATGACTACCCACACTATGCAATGTACCATCTGGAAAACCAAACACAGAAAATCTGCTGGGCTAATGTTTTATAAATCTCTTGATTGCAACCTTCTCTGGTCTCCAAAGTATTATAAAGCTGACATAGAACGTGTAGACTGTCTTCTTTTCTAACTTCCTGACTCCCAGTAACTCGTTTCCATTATGAAACTTGGACAGTATCTTCAATTCCCCAAAACATCCAGATTGAACTATTTTAAGCAATTACATAAATGTGATGGGAACATGATAGCAAATATTTTCATTTCCAACAGTTTTCTTATTGAAAATTGTATTGGGTAGCAAATTTGTACAGATCTTTATGAATTGCCACTAGAAAATTTTAATACATTAAGGGTACTAAAACAAGTACACTATTATCAAATATACATGTCAGAATTGGATTAGAGATAAGTTTTTCAATTTCCAATTAATGTCATTAAGGAAATCATTAAGATAGAGGTGAGATGTGAACAATGACTGGGTAGAAAACACAGTCAGTATGATTTAAATTGGGAAGACTTGCCAGAAAATGATATCTTGTTAACTATGAAAAATGTTTATGAATCCCTAGCAAAATAAATTCAGGTAGGTCTTCAAATATCACCTACTCAAAACTGCTAAGTGACCAATTATACTCTGGATTTGCAGTTAGAGGGTAAGTTTTGTTTGGTAGAGCATTTTTTTTTTTTTTTTTTTATCCTCACCCGAGGACTTTTTTCCATTTTTTGTTCTGATAGAGTGGGAGGGAGAGAGAGAAAGAGAGAGAGAGAAACATTGACGTGAAGGGACACATCGAGTGGCTGCCACCCGCACGACCAACCAGGGCCGGGGACAAACTGCAACCGAGGTATGTGCCCTTAGTGGGAACCGAACCCGGGTCTCTCTGTACCTCAGGCCGATGCTCCAACCGCTGAGCCAAACCGCCCAGGGCTGTTTGGTAGAGCATTTTATTTATTTATCATTTAAATGACATTTATGTTAGAATAACAGAAACTTGTAGGTTTTATTTCTTGGCTCAATAAATATCAGTTATGCTATAAAATTATATTAAGTGTATAGACATCTAAAAATAAATTTGAAAATATACAGGGTGGGGCAAATCTAGGTTTATAGATGTTCGTGTGAAAAATAAAATAATAATTAATAAATGATACAAAATAAACTCTGTTTCATGGACTCTTAACAATAAATCTACTTTTGTCCTACCCTGTATTATTACTTACAATACAATAGTGAAATATTCACTCAAGAATAGAAAAACGAGGAGTTATTAAATGTTAAGAATTCTGATGTTGGAACAATTAAACTTAACTTCCACTGTTGCTACCTAACCATTATAGAGTGAGCTATATAAGACTGAATACATTTATGTACTCCTAATTTAGAAAGCAATTCCTTGAGCTAAAGCCCAGGAAAAGCACAATTCATAATTCACATAATTTTTATTTTTTTCTGAATTAAATGTGGACACATCTATTACTAAAATTGTCAACTAAGTTCTCAAAACAATTATATAATTTAATGAATATATAAGTTTGCAAAGATCAGAAGGCTCTAAATTAGTAATTGATCTCAATGCACAGTAGAGCATGTGATAATTGTATAGTCTTATAAGAAGGCTGTTCTGAGGGAGTACAAACTTCATTCAGATTGCTCCCAGAATTTGACTCTGGATCTCTCTGGAAATTAACAAACAGAAGTTGATATATATATATATATATATATATATATATATATATAGTGTTTTATGTAGGTTTCTGTTTTTGTTCTTTATTCTTATTTTTAAGTATTTGCTTTTTAAATGAATTAATTATTAAACCTTTACATTTGTATAACTCTGTAATATTTCTTCTTTTTCCTCCTAAGTCCCAACATATTAATTGTTAGTGCTGATCCTCCCATAATGATTTTCTATGTACATTTAATTGTAAATTAACATTTTGTTTATTTTATGTAATAGTAATATTTTCTTCCCTAATTTAAAAAATATTTTTACTATTTTTTATTAACTTAGCCATATAAAAATGCTATTATGCTGTCTAATATCTCAGGGTTTATTTATTTATTTGTTTTGCTTTTTACATTATGGTTTCTCAATTTTTTACTTCTCCCTATAAAATTATACAAATATTTTCTTCAAATGGTTTATAGTTTTATACCGTAAGCTATAACAAATCAAGTGTGTGTGTGAGTGTGTGTGTGTGTGTGTGTGTGTTTAATTCTTTAAATTAAATAACTACATCATTAGGGTCCTGATATGAAAAAGGTGACACATTCAAACAGGGTAAATTAGAAGGTTTAACAAAGTGCCCATTTGTAAAGATTAGGCAAGGTTGAAGAAACAGCAGAAATAGTGAAGTGCCCTTTCCTTCCTTCTACTTGGAGGGGATGAAATGGCAGGAAAAATGAGAGAGTAGTTACCAGAACACTGCATGAGAAAGCTACCTAAAAGACATGGCCTTTAGGAAAAAAATGGTTGAAACCTTCTCACAGTCCAGCAGGAAGGTATGTGAAGAAATAAATACATCAACCTCACTCTCCTTTTATTCAAAGTTTCTTGCTTTGGTGCCTCTCTATGGCTGAACTCTATAAGAAACCACAGGACAAAGGGGCCTGATGATGTAATTCACAGCACTAGTCTCATAAATGGTGAAGGGTGGAAAGAGGATCCAATATGACAGCCATTAGTTGCATGCTGCTCTTGAGTACTTGAGATGTGCTCTTTCTGAAACAATTGTGGATGGGATTTTTTTTTTTTTTTTATGTTCCCTTTTTGACAGTTCATGATTGATAGAGAAAAATACAACTGATTTCTGGATATTTATTTTGTATCCCGCTACTTTACTAAAATTTAACCAAGGATGTAAAAGACCTGTACTCAGAAAATTATAGGACATTGAAAACGATACAAATAAGTAGAAGTATGTACCATGTTCATGGATAGAAAGAATTAGCATCATTAAATACTATCTATACTATCCAAAGCAACCTACAGATTCAACACAATTCCTATCAAGACACCAATGGCATATTTCACAGAACTAGAACAAATATTTGAAAAATTTATATGGAACCACAAAAGACCCCAAATAGTCATAGGGATCTTGAAAAACAAGAAAAAGTTGGAGAAATCATGCTACTTGATATCAAACTATACTACAAAGCCATAAAAACACACA